GTTCTTGGGTTGTGAGAGGGTGCTGGCCAGGAAGAGGGACCCCACCAGTGCACGAACCCACACACCAGGCTTCAAGTGTTAAAGTAAAGGAGCATTCTCCAGGAAATGGGATTTCACTAGAAGCAGAGTTCATCGAACTTTTCTCCAACTGTAGATATGAGAAAGTAAACATGAGTGGGGCATGGGTCCTGAATAAAGAAATATCAGCATCATGTTTGTGAAGAATTACCATGTAAGGCACAAAAAATCTTGATTTAATGTTTCAATCATTAGAACATTGGAAAGAAAAGCTACTCCTGAGAAGGGGAAGTGGGCAAAAAAATTTAGATGTCTTGTCATTCTCTGTAGGTTTCCGGATAAGACATGAACAAACAAACAAGGGAAAAGAGAAAGATGACATTAAATTATAATAGAGAAGTTGAAATGGGGGCTTGGTAAAGTTAGCAAGGTGTATAGAATGTTAATGTAATAGTATGATCAAATTTTATTTCACAGGAAGTAAGGAAAATAATTGACAATACAGAAAAATAAATTTATGTGAGTAAGCTAAAGCTGAAAAACTCTGTTGGCTATTGCAAAGGACAAGAATGATCAATAGGGGATGAAGCTTAGGAATACAATTTAAGAAACAGGTCTTTCCTAGGTATAAATCACAATAGGTGAGATAAGATAAATATGCAAATGTATAATTAGAATCATTAAAGTTTTTTAAATAAAGACAATTAAATATGTAGATTACAATAGGTCATAATATTTTGGGAAGGAAATGAGATTTACAGATATTGTGTGTTTTTTTATATATATTTTATTGATTTTTTACAGAGAGGAAGGGAGAGGGAGAGAGAGTCAGAAACATCAATGAGAAAGAAACATTGATCATATACCTCTTTCACACCCACTACTGGGGATGTGCCCACAACCAAGGTACATGCCCTTGACAGGAATCAAACCCGGGACCCCTGAGTCCACAGGCTGATGTTCTATCCACTGAGCTAAACTAACCAGGACCACAGATATTTTTTGACAACAAAGTTAAATTCTGAGGGGAAACACCACACATTTTAGTAAAATTTTAAATAATTTTACTTATTGATATTTTTTTTGAGAGGGAGAGAGAGAAATATTTGTTGTTTCTCTTATTATGTGCATTCATTGGCTGCTTCTTGTATGTACCCTGACCAGAGATCAAACCCACAAACTTGGTATATAGAGAGGATGCTTCGTTGTTGGTTGAGCTACCTGGCCAGAGCGAAAACAAAACAAAACAAAACGAAACAAAAACCATCCACAAATTTTAAAAATAAGTAACCTATAATCTAAAGGAATGAAATAACACTGGCCTCAGATTTATTTTCTGCAACAGTTACCAATAGATATAGAGTAATACATTGTTGAAAGAAAATGTTTATGACCCAATAATTCTGTTCAATCAACTTGTCTGTCATATGCAAGGACAGCAGAATGTTTTAGTTATGTAATGTTTTAGAAAATGCACAGTCACACACGATGCCCAAAATTACTTTAAAAAAATAAAAAACATACGTGACTAATTAACAACTCTATGGGAAAGCAGAACAGGGAGGAAAGCAAGAGGAGACAGAAGAAAATGTGTATCAGCAGGAAGTTTTGTTAGAATCAGCAAAAGTAGGCATGAGAGGACATGCTGAGTTTATTATTTAGAAGAAATTGTGGTTGAATTTTTCACCTCTTGCCATACTTTCCTTCCTGTTCCAGTCCTTCCTTGGCTACTGTCTCTAAGGATAGTGAGGAAAGGAGAAAGTAAGCATAAAGAGGAAGTAAATTTGGAAGAAGAATATGTAGTGTATATGAGGGCTATGACCTCCTCCTAAACAGAGTAAGGAAGTAAACGTGTAATTCTGAACGACAGCAGTTAACATGAGAGTTATAATGTGTTCAGAAAGGTTCATATGATTCTGAAGGCTATGACTTTGGGTTAAAGAACTAGTAATTTAAAAAATTTCTTTATTGTTGAAAGTATTACATGTCTTCTTCCCCCCACTCTCCCCGTTGACCTCTCCCAACCAGCTACCAGCCCCCACCTCTGAGCACAGGCCCTCACCCCCTATTGTGTATGTCCATTGGTTATGCTCATATGCATACATACAAGCCCTTTGGTTGATCTCTTACCAGTCCCCTCCCCTGCCTTCTCTCTGAGGTTTGATAGTCTGTTTAGCGTTTCTTTATCTCTGGATCTATTTTTGTTCATCAGTTTATGTTGTTCATTATATCCCACATATGAATGAGGTCATGTGATATTTATCTTTCTCTGCTAACTTATTTTGCTTAGCATAATGCTCTCCAGGTCCATCCCCGCTGTTACAAATGGTAGAAGCTCCTTCTTTTTTACTGCAGCATGGTATCCCATTGTGTAGATATACCACAGCTTTTTAATCCACTCATCTGCTGATAGGTACTTAGGCTGTTTCCAAATCTTAGCTATTGTAAATTGTGCTGCTATGAACATCGGGATGCATATATTCTTTTTGACTGGTGTTCTTATTTCTTGGGATGTATTCCTAGAAGTGGGATTACTGGGTCAAATGCGAGTTCCATTTTTAATTTTTAAGGAAATGCCATACTGTTTTCCACAGTGGTTGTACCAATCTGCATTCCCACCAGGAGTGCATGAAGTTATAGAAATATTGAAAGAGACTAGAGCACAAACAATAAAAATTATGACAACAATAGGCAAAAAATTTCCAGAATTTAGCTAAAACATGAGTCCTCATTCATTCATTAGAGCAGAAAAACAGATTATACTAAAGAAAATTGAATCATATTGCTTTCTTATCAGCAACACTGGCGAGAATAAAACTTAGGTGAAAAATTTTGTCACCTTAAGTGCACAGTTCTTAGACATGACACCAAAAACACTATTAATAATAGAAAAATTCATAAGTTGAAGAACTAATAAAAACTTTAGTTCTTCAAAAGATGGCTAAAAGAAGTAAAAGACAAGTCACACGCACTGGGAGAAATTAATTGCACATCACAAATCCAATAATAAACTTGTATATCCAAGATACCTAAATAATTCTTATAACTCAGTTTTAAAAAACAAGTGTTCTTTTCTTGATCTGGATGACAATTACCTGAGTGTGTTCATTTGTGAAATTGATGGAACTGAACAATGTGACTTATTTTTTTTGTTTACCTTTTGTATGCATTTAGGTCAAAATAAGTTCAAAGCACACTAAAAACTCACTCAAGAAATTAGCAAAATAATGTTAAGTAAGCTAAAAAGTTAGGAGGAGATGCTGGGACTATTTCAGGCTGAATGGATCTTATCTCTCCTCCAATTTCAATTTCAATGCATTCCCCTCTCCTTTTTTGAGCAGCAGCTAAAAATCACTAGTCTAGCAGGTCCTCTGCAGGAATCCTGGTAGAGAATGGTTGACTTCCCAAAAACTGTGACCCAGAGTGAAGGGAAAAATCCTGCTTTCTATATGGCTTATCTCTCAGGTTTCCAAAACTCTGATGTGTTGCTGGTGCCTTTTCTGAAGCAGGCGCTGACACACAGTTGAAGGGGCACAGTATTTGTTAGGAATTAATACCTCTCAAAGGAAGCAGAGGAGGAGTAGGGGTGTGAGAGAGCAGGATGGAATAAAGGAAGAAGCTGAACTGTGATGCAAGCCCCCAAATGTCTCAGCTATCTTGTAGGGAAGCGGGGAGCAAGTGATGACTGTGAGGAGCATTATAATAGTAAAATGTTCTGACAATGTCTTTCTAGGTCATAGGAGAAAAAGTGAATTACAGAAATCACAGTGGTCACAATAAATGTATTGCAAACAGCACTTTGTGCACCATCACGTCTGTAATTAAAGGCAAGAACTGTACACTGTACTCAGCATGCTCAGAACACCAGTGAATCAATGACAATTTCAAATGAGCAGCAGAATGCAAGGCAAATAAGAAGTTTAAGCTGTCCTCCCAGTAGAAAGCAATTATATATTGATCCATTCGTCTTGACTGGTTAATCAGAAACTGATTTTGAAACTGGTGGTGGGCTTTGGAAAAGTTGGCTTCAGAAAGAGCTTAAAACGACCACCAGTAAGTTCAGTTAAGCCATCTCACATAGGTGCATTTCAGAGAAATGTGATGAAGACTTACTTACCTTTATGTCCAGATATCGATGAGAGTTCTATGACAGTTGGAACTGTACTGTTGGCTGGAGTTGGTTGATTGACACAGGTTGGTACATAAATTGTAAAAAGAAGTAAATGATACCGAGAGCTTGTGATGAGAGCAAACAGGATAGATAGTTCTGCAGAGGCTGAATAAACTGTGGGAAAAGGTGGGGAAATGAAATGAGATGGGGAAGAGTGAGTGGCGAGGGAAATTAAAAGAAAGGGCTAGTAAATGAAAGAATAAGAAATATTAAATGGATTATTACTTGTGGACATTTTCTTAACTTTTTCTGGAATTCTCTCACCTGAGACAATTGAGCACCCTCTGAGAGAGCACCTATTAAGAGAATAGCAGATAAATGAAATAAGTCAGACAGAGAAAGATAAATACTATATGATCTTACTTACATGTGGATTCTAAAGAACAAAATAGAAAAAAAAACACAAAACAAGAACAGACTCACAGATACAGAAAACAAATTGGTGGTGGCAAATGGGAGGAAAAGGGGTGAAAAAGGAGAAGGGGTTTAGAAATACAAATTGGTGGTTACAAAATAGTCAGGGTGTTGTGAAATAGAACATTGGAAATATACGCAATAATATTGTAATAACTATGTATATTGCCAGGTGGGTAATAGACTTATTGGGGGAGGGGGAGATCATCATAAGATATATAAATTTCTAACCACTATGCTGTACACCTGAAACTAATATGAAATAATATAGAATGTCAACTGTAATTGAAAAAAAAATTTAAATAAGAAGGTAAAAAGAAAAAGAGAACAGCAGAGATGATAAATACAGTCATTCTTTCTTCCTGGTGCTTTGTCTTTTGTCACCTTAGGTTCCAAGATGCCTGGCCATGCTAGACTTCAAGGTGTGGTAGCTACCATAATAGAGATAAGCAAAGACCCCACAAACTACTACACAGGGCGGATGCTGTGGTTTAGTTTTACTTTTCTTTACATGTCAGTGGTGTATGTAGTACAAATCACTTGGTTTGACCTGGACAAAGACTTCCAGTGTCATGGAAATATCTCCGAAGCCTGTGTAGCAGAGTGCTATGAGAATCACTTCACCAGCCCGATTCTTGGAGTTTGGTATGTGATTGGCTTTGTCTTCTTCTTCAACTTTTTCATGATGGAGAGCTTTGCCTCTCAAGGTGTGCAAAAGGGGAATGAGAAGCCTAAGAAGGAATCTTTCAAAGAGATGTCCAGTGACACTGACAACAAAGAAGACTCCATAAAAACAAGAAAAGATCAAATTTTTTACTTCACCCAAAACAAGTTTCTGCTGACAATGTATCTTGTCTACTTTCTTGTACAGCTGTCTGTACATCTGATCTTCTTAGTTATTCTTGTTCACTATCAACTACCACTTCTTAAAAAGCCCATTTGGTGCAGTACCCTCCTGTGTCTTGGACCTTATGCATGTGTGATAATGGGGACACAGGAAAAAGTTATGTCCATTATCCTTCTAATTTCACTCTCAGTGGTTATCATGACTTTCTGTATTATGTTCTTCCTGTATACCATTCATGTATACCTGGTCCTAAGGAACAGAACAAAGAAATACAGAGGCTCTGTAAAATCCTGAGGATAGTCCAGATGATCACCATGGATTACAAAATAGAAAAAGGACGCAAAAAGAAACCTCTCGTGGTCTTATATTGAAGCAGTACATATTCTAACCTTATTTATTTTCCAGAACATTGTAATCTCAAAAAAAATAAATGTTGGAAGTGTGACAAGCCTGCTTTCTTCTTATATGTGTAAACATGCTATTCCTAAAGAAAAAAAATGAATAGGTTTCAGAATATTTTAAAATGAGAAACCTGAGGACATTTCATCCTATCAGTTTTAATATACTATCACAATGAAATTTTAAGGACTATCTTTTTTCCCATTTAATTGGTTAGTAATTTAAGATTAAGGTTAAGGAAATTTACATAGAGGGAGGGACACATTGAAAAATTATGGATAATTAAACATTATAGCTTCTTTAGTATATTAGTATAGTGTTCTTAAAATAATTATTGTCTAAGCTTTCCTACTTATGTAAGCCTCAAAGCAGATGTTTCAAAGAAGATTAATATGAAATACTTTGTATACATAGAGAGGATAAATAAAGAAATAGAGAAATAATATGTTCTCAAAGCTTCAAAGAAAATGATTGTGTTTCAGGTATGTATCAAGTATAGTGAAAGATTAAAAAAAACAAAAAAACAGAAGCAGCAAATATATTTCTGTGCTTGAACTGCATCCAATTCCCTTTGGCACTTTATTTCATTACTAGAGGCCCAGTGCACAAAATTCATGCACAGTGGGACGAGGGTTCCCTCAGTCCAGCCTGGACCCTCTACAATCCAGGACCCATCAGGGGATGTCCAACTGCCAGTTCCATCCCTGACCCTCTCATAATTAGGGACCACTGACTCCTAACTGCTCACCTGCCTGCCTGCCTAATGCCTCTAACTGTGCCCCCCCCCCCACACAAGCCTGATCATCCCTAATTGCCCTCCCTCCCACTGGCCTAGTTGTCCCTCATTTTCCCCCTCCCCCCCTGCAGGCCTGGTCACCCCATGCAGCCTGCAGTTCATTCATTTGGTGGTCCCTCACTAACCCTCTTGCCAGCCTGGTCGCCCCACGCAGCCAGCTGTTTGGTTGTTACTATGAAGGCATCATGACCAATTTGCAGATTACCCTTTTATTAGTATAGATTACCAACTCCTAGTTTAGTTTTATCAAGCTGAACTACTGTATGTAGAAGTGATTAAAATTTGAGAAACGAATTCTTCATGGGACAATTGAAGATTCTATATTGGCAGAAGACATAAATTGTAAGTGTAACCACAGCTGCTATTAGTAGCTTATGGGTACATTTGTGGGACAGGGAAGTAATGGATCTTCAAAGAACAAGGGAAGTGGTTCCTTATCAACTAGGGCAGCTAATTATAAAAGAAACAGACACTTAGAACAAAATATTAAATGATACGGTATAGGTATATATGTTTATAGAGTAAGGCATTGACAGGTAGTACTAGAATGGCAACCTTAGAAGCCCTTTTAACATCTTGTTTTGAAATCTATCCAGAGTCAATGGAGTGAGCTGGCAGATTAACTTCTTTTTTTAAATTTTTATTTCATTGTTTAAAGTACTATAAATAGTAGTACATATATCTCATTTTTCCCCATTGACCTTCCCCCCAGCCTCCTCTACCCCCCTACACATGCCCTCCTCCCACCCCCATCCCCAGTGTCTTGCGTCCATTGGTTATGCTTATATGCATGCATACAGATCCTTTGGTAGATTAACTTCTGGTGATTGGTGTACTCCCTCCTCAATCTCCTCCTCTCATGCTAGTTGTGGCTTATGTTTTAGATGACCCCAGGTATCTATAACCTGTGGCATAGCATATAGGACACAAGCAAAATTATCTCTGTGTCCCATTTCAGAAATACCCAGATCATATCTTCTCAGTAGAAATGAAATACCTATAGAATTATGAATTTGCATTATGTAGTTAAATTCAGGTCTAATACTTATCTAATTTTTCTCCATCATCACTTTCACTCCTTGCTGTTATATGATTATATCTCACTTTAATTTCAACAATAGCTGCCTAACGTTAGTCCCTCCCATTCTCTGTACTTTTGCCACAAGTTTTCTGTGATGAGCTTCACTTTGCCACTTCCATGCTTAAGCTCCTCATTGCTCTAAGAAAAAGCTTACACTCTATTCACACTATTAACAAAACCCTACTTTGTTAAGGCCCCACTTAGCAATCTTTTGACCATGACTTCCCAGCACTCCGCATTTAATGCTCCACCCAACTGTTTGAGAGCCTTTTGCATGCATTGTCCTCTTTGACCCCTCAGCCTTCACACAATGCTTTACTTCTGAACTGTGATAATTTTCAGAACAACTCTCACTCCAACTTTCTACACTTACCTAACTTTTACTAATGGCCTAGTTCTCATTTTAGATATTACTCCTTGTAGGAGGATTTCCTTGCTCTTCCAACTCTGGATTAAGGGGTCTTATTCTGTGTTCTTCTCTAATTATAACACAACAATACCTATTTATTTGCTTTTATCAGCCACCAAGACACAGCCTCTTCACAATAGGGAACATGTCTAATTTGCTTCTCAAATTATACTCAAGGTTAAAACATATATATGCTGAATAACTCTCTGGGAGGGGGGCATGCAAGAGGCAGCTCATCAATGTTGATGTTTCTCTCTCTCCCTTCCCTTTTCTCTCTAAAATCAAATAAGGACATATTTTTTAAAAAGAAAAAATTCTTTTTAAAAAACATATACGTATATTTTATTGATTTTTTACAGAGAGGAAGAGAGAGGGATAGAGAGTTAGAAACATCGATGAGAGAGAAGCATCGATCAGCTGCCTCCTATACGCCCCCCACTGGGGATTTGCCTGCAACCAAGATAGATGTCCTTGACCAGAATCAAACCTGGAACCCTCAGTCTGCGGGCCGACGCTCTATCCACCGAGCCAAACCGGTTTTGGCTAAAAAGGAAAAAATTCTTAAATGAAATATATTTCCCGTGTGATAAACGTAATTTTAGAAATATCAGTATATCATCTAGGGAAATATTAAGAAGTTAAAAGAATTTTTAAGTTCCACATACTATTTAGAATGCTGGTTGAAATCTTAGAAGACAAGTTACACATATATAGTATAGAAATGGACATATATAGAACCTAATTGTTTTTTATGTTGCTATTTTTGTCTTAATACACATATAGTAAAAATCACTTTTTTATATATAGTTCTGGTTTTGATAAAAAAAAAATAGTAACATTAAAATAATATTGCCCCTTCATAGTTAACCTGTGCCCACCTCAAATACCTGACAATTACTTAATCTATTTTCTATACTTGAAGTTTTGTTTTATCTAGATTGTCATATAAATGAAATATGCAAAATACATTCTATTGACTTGGGCTTCTTCCACTTAGCATAATGTGTTTAGGGTTCTTCTACACTACTGTATGTCTAAGGCAGGTTCCTTTTCAAGGCTAAGTAATATTTCATTATATGGATGTACTAGTGGGCCGGTGCACAAAATTCGTGCATGGAGGGGAGGGATTCCCTCAGCCCAGCCTGCACCCTCTCTAATTGGGGACCCCTTGAGGATATCCAACTGGAATCAGACCTAAACTGGCATTCAGACATCCCTCTTGCAATCTAGGACCACTGGCTCCTAACCGCTGACCTGCTTGCCTGCCTGATCAACTCTAACTGTCTCTGCCTGCCTGCCTGATCACCCTTAACTTCCCTCCCCTGCTGGCCTGATCTTGCCCCCAACTGCCCTCCCCTGAAGGAAGGCCTTCACCTCTGTGGGCCAATTTGGTTCTGATTGGTTAGTTTCTATTCCAGTCAATGTCAAAAGCTCTGTCTCCTAGGCAGCCATTGGTTCCTCACAGTTGACCCAGATTTGGTTCTGATTGGTCAGTTTCAATGCCAGTCAGTGTCTCTGGGCTTATAAATGGGGCCTGATCAGAAAGGCTAGGCTGATCAATAGCCCCAATGGAGGGCTGGAGAGAAATGGAGGCACAGCTGCTGGTTTGGCTCAGGGAGAGAGAGAGAGGCAAGTACTGATCAACAACTGCCACACAGGCTAAGGATCAGACCCTGCTTCTCTCTTTAGGCCTCTCTCCAGCCTGATTCACAACCTCCTCAGCAGTCAGTGCTAGGTCGCCATAGCAACCCAGTGCTGACTGCAGGACTGTTGTGACAAACCCAGGGTTTTTATATATTAGGATCATATTGTGTTTATCCATTCACCAGAAAAAGAACATTTGGAGTTATATCTACTAGGTCATTATGAATAAAGCCACTATAATTACTATGGACATTCATGTATATATTTTCATGTGAACATAAATTTAAATTTTCTGGGACAAATACTTGGAAATGGGATTGTGGAGTCATATTATAAATGTATGATTAACTTCATAAGAATTTGTAATACTGATTTCCAAAGTGGTTATATCATTTTGATTTTTACCAGCAATATATGACAACTCCAATTACTTTGCTTCCCTGCAAAATGTGAAATTGTCAGCTCATCCATTCACACATTCTCTCATTGCTTTTAGTGTTTTAAATAGATGTAGAGTGGTATCTCGTTGTGATTTCAATTTACATTTTTCTAATGACCAATGATGTTGAGCATCTTTCATGAGCTCATTACCATCTGTTTAACATTTCAATGGTTCAAATCTTGATAATTCTGGTTCTAAGATGACATCTCCTGGCCATCCATTGCCTAGAACCTCCTGTAGGATAACATGGCTAAAAACTACCTAGAGGCTTGCAACTGACAGTCTTTTGTACTAAAATCACTCAGAAGGACTTTATATTATATTAAACTTTATACAGAGAGCCCCTCTGGGACTCTTTTGACTTTCCTAAATGAGTTTATTTAAGAGCCCAATTGGAACAAAAATGTTTCTAGACCTCTCAAAGACAATTGAAATTGTCCTTCAATCGGTATTTTGAGAGTTCCAAAAGAAACCAAGAGGCCACTATAACCTTTCTGCATGAAAATAAGGGACTTCAAAAACT